TCCTATAGTACTTTTCCGATGACAGCAATGTACGCATGCTTCCTTGGTTTCTTGAGTTTTCTGCATCAAAACCGTAATTAACGTCAAACGCAACCTCCATTAAGGAAGTCCAAACCAAAACTAATTTTTTTCTAGAATGTAGCCACGAACCTGTTCGTACAATGCGATAGTGTCAAAGCTATAGGAAAGTTAAAATCTCCTACTGGTATTTTAGAACTTCTAGTCGCCTCTGGGGATGATGATGCAGGTGGTGGCCTCGTCTGGAATTGCACTGCGGGTTCTCGCATCCAATCTCTCCCTATAGCTGGTTCCGCAGGACCTGTAATTGACGTTTGCGCTTTTAACAAAGGAGAAAATTTGGGCCTCCTAACCAACCACCAGGTAGACGTTTTCAAATGGTCCCAAAATTACGGAGGCGATACCTAACGCTGCCCACAGCGTCCACAACATCTACGTGTACATAACCCATGGTACCTATTCCATAACCATAATAAAAAGTACCTTTATTTTTCAAGCTTTGCATTTTTATCGGACCTACAAGGTACGCTAAGAAGCTTGTCCAAAAATCCAAGTTCTTTCCCTGGTCGTGCTCTGTTACGCTAAGACAGCAGTTTTGGTTTAACGGTGTCGCAGAATACCCACTGCGCACCGTCCACCGCTCCCAGTCAGGAGTTGTGCATGCTGAATGAGTGTTCACGAGTGTGTCAGAGGTACTCGAGAATCCGGGAAATGTTCCCTTCGTTCTTACTTCTATGAGGTTCAATCAATGGCCGACTCCAAAGCACAATACAAATCACCAAAAGGATATGGTCAACCAGCTATAACTCCCTGCAACCAAATCCATGGCGGCTCTCATTAATCAATCCTCGGATCCGCAAACACCAACCATGCTTCCTACTCGTTCATACACATCATAGCGAGGGGAACAATTCTGGGGGCTTTTTACTAGCAGGTTGAGAAGCCACGCACAAAAGCTCTAGTTTATAATACCTATAATGATTTCTTGATTACCAATGCAGGGGTCGCCCGTGATTAGGACTGAAATTCGAGTCTCAATTAAGGATTGTTAATCGTAACTTTGGTTTGAATTCATAAATTTGATGAAAAACAAAAAGGATTAGGAGGAGAGGACGAGAAATGTCGAGTGTGTCGCACCAGAGTCCGGTTTTGATATTCACCATCAGTAACAATAACACTGATGAAATGCATTCAAGTGCGGGGATTAATGCATCTAGCCGGTGCGTGCACATTCACCTCAAGTGTATCACACAGACTAGGTGTCCATGGAAGACAGTTGAAGTATTTGCACCACGTGCAGTTGGTTAATGGCCACTTTATAAATACCAAAAGAAGAAGGAAAAAGAGCAGTAGCCACGTAGCCATGCAAGTCACAATAACCTTCAACTTGCGACGACGCATATGAACGAACAGCTCCTGCAGTTTGCGTTGGTAGATTTCGTAATCGGAGTCACCAGCCGTGGTCTGATTGCTTAGATTGGAGACACGCATCACAGTGAGTTGGTTCTTGCTGCCGTATCCGAGGTAGGGCACAAACACGTAGGCCAGCAGAATGCCGGAAACAAAACCTGAGATGTGGGCGTAGTTGTCCAGCCAAGGGAGAAAACCAATAAAAAACCCAAAAAGCACCAGCACCACCTGCCTGAGGATCACCGACCAAGGCGACACAAATATGTCAATTGTCTGCAGTGAATCCATAAAACTAACTCCAAACAGCGCAAAGTGTGCTCCAGTCGGCCCTGTGTGAACCTAGAGGGGAAAAATAGCCGATTTAATTACATAGATGGCGCCTTTACTGACTCGTCATTTGGGTACCCTCCTTCATAAGTCATCTTGCAGGTGACCTTTAGACCTACGCCGCAATCCTTACATGGTATGGTAGCATAATCCCAGAGGCCAGACCAGAGAAGCATCCCGAGAGGATAAAGATTGTGGCAATTCGAACACAACCAAGCAATTTCTCCAAGTGGCGCATCACAGTCAATTGGATAAACAAACTGAGTGCCAAATGCAAAATCCTGCGAAAGGAAAAGATAGCACCATCATTTCTGGATCGACTCAGTTAGCTTTTGACTCTAATAAGACCTGCAATTGCTGTCTCAAGCATTGGTCATGCGATCAGACATACGACGGGTTTGTCGACATACTCATTTGTTCTTAACCAAGGAATGGAATTCGCCCTTGAATATTTACCCGACTACCACCTGGAGCTTTTGCAAGACAGGTGGATTTTCGCGTATATCCTGTCAAGTCAAATGATCACCCAGAGACCAGAACTTGATCAAATTGATGCATAGGTAACTTAATGACAACTCTTCTCTAGGCATGGAATGAAAACATACAAAGGCCCATCCAGTATTCAAGTTAAAGTACGAAAAAATGCATGGACAAAACTCACCCTGCATGTAGAAACAGTGAAATGAATAGCCTCGACAATTGATCGGGTTTAGAGGGCTTGACGAAGGGTATCATACCGCAAACCTCCTGTAAGCAGTGAACCTGGAGGCCATTTAAAGTAAACGAAAAGCATGACAAACACAATCTCATGATACCGCCAACTCATATGAATTGCACCAATGATAATTGCAATTAAAACGACTATGAGGCGAGAGAAATTACAATCCCATTTCGAGGCAACAATTGTCCATTGTTGGAATTGCACTAAATTGGAGGACACTGACCGTAATGCTAGAAATGGCAACTACAGTGAGTTTTCTTGAAGTCCACCGAGAAAAGCACTAGCGGAGAAAACACTTGAAATTCACAAATAAGAACACACTTTAAATGTACCCTAAAAACAACAACAAATTTTGCTTTCCAGACAACGAAATGAGACACCGAATGATGACTAGGTTAGGGTGTGCCAAATATGCAAAAAAAGCTGCAAAAAGGGTCTGAAATTACATGAATAAAGTTACCACAATCATTCAAACACTAGGCACTTGCCGAAAAGAGTAGGTTTTGTTAGCGGTACATGAAATGGTAAAGCATACAGGGCTGGAGTAGTTCAAACTCTACTGGCTAAAGCAAGACAGAGTTATGGCGAGTCTTCGGTGCGTCCTACCTGGGAGCAGAGGCGAGCTTCACTGTGGTAACGACCTTGAAGGAAGCTGCAATGTACTGGAGTGGTGATGATACACTCTCCCTTGACTCCAACACAGCAGGGTCGCGCTACCGTTTCACACTCCATGTGAGGCGCAAAACCGGCCAGCGAGGAGGTGTTGACAGGTTTTAGACAAATCTGTAAGGCAGGTATGCATAAGTACGTGTGAAGAGTATGGTAAGGTGAGACAGGATGCAAACAGGAGAGGACACCAGTAAGCTTCAACATGGATGTTGTCGAAAGGTCAGTGCAACAAGTGACCAAAATGAGGCAGCACACCATGTGACCTGTCTAAAGAGACACATTTACAAAGTGGTCTAATGAGGAGTTAATGTATGGCGCATGTGCCCAATCTACAACTTGCAATAGATGGTTTAATTTACGCGGGTAAACGTAACGATAGTTTAGCGAAAGCACAGACAGACTAACAATCTCCAGCGCGAGCTTCATCGACAACAAGGATGGCCACTGATGGACCCACGTCCATCACCACCAAAGTACAAAGAGAATAAGTGAAACAAGTTTACCAGTAAGTTATGAAGCAAACATATTTAGACAAACTGGTAATACGTCAATGCACCGCGAGGACTAAACGCAATGGTTAAGTTCGCAGACAAAAGTGCTGTTTATGGAGTGAGAAGGGAACGAGTACAGCTCTAATGACAACAGCTCCCTTTTCCCATAGAGAAGGGAAAAAAAGGCCCACAAATCAATGAAATAACCTCACCAATTATATGTATGCGATCGTGTGCATTTTCGTAGTGATGAAGTTTGTAGGTGCTGTCAAAACTGAATTACAATGCATTACCTAAGTAAAAACTTGCAAATGTGACACAATAGCAGTCCCAAGGACGGAAACACAAGGCTATTGAAGTGAAACTTGGACCCACTTCAACTGAGATAGTTGAGAAGAGGGGAAAGACTGGAATACTGGTACCTACAACATTAGGCGCAACTCAGTTGCATCATCGAAGTCAGTGAAAGAAGCCCCTTCCTTTTAGCTAAACACTAAATCAAAACGCCAAACGAGAAAGCCATCACTAAGACCAGTTGAATCTACCACAATTCATCAAGAGGGATTGGCTTAAAATTACACACACTCCAGCCTAAAAGTCTGCAATTGTTAAGAATAATGGCGTGGAGCAGAGGTTTGAAACCAAAGTTGAGTCCTTCCTGATGGGTCATTTATGAAGACTGAAACAGAGGGTAAGAAGTAATCGCATGCTCAAAAAATTATACACCTCAGTATCTTACGCCATTTTGAATGGTGCTGTTTGGGTGTCTTGCATAGGACTAGTAAACCAATGAGTAGAGAGCACAAGTGTATTCAATACGTACACATTTCCACACGTACGGGCCATTCAGTGACATCGGTAGAGGACCATGTGAATGGTCCGGTGGACCGCGGCTCGGCACAAAAATCAGGATCCAGTCCGCATACGGGTCCAATGGATGGACGAGTGGTCGATCCGAGAGTATAAAAGTCGGAGTGAAAGGTGCGACCCTCCATTTGTGGAGTAAACAATGCCTCAGCCACTAATAGGTCATGATTATCCGAGTAGTGCAACCACGTGGAAGTACTTCGAGAGCAAAACAGACGGCTTGTCTGGTAGCAGGTGGCGTCTCTCATATTGACACAGCAACCGCTTCTATAAACATTCAAACAAAATAAGATGGTCTCTAAATATGCAGGGTTGATGTCCTGTCTTCAGAGTCAATATTTAAGTTACTATGATTCGAAGGCGACAATATGTGAAGCCCATGCACTATCATTGCCAAAATTTTTTTGCAACTAATGAAGAAAGATTGACTACCTCTATCTTGAATAGAGCAAAATACTCTATGAACGCATGTGACAGGATCCGGAGGAGGAAAACATCTAGATGACCTCTGTAACGGAACCTACTTTCTGTCCCACTTTTTCTGCGCTTCAACTACCACCTTATTGAGGGTGTCGTCGAAACGCATGCAGGGTGAGAAACGAGCTCCCATGCGGACGAGGTCAGCCTGTTGTGGCCCAATCCAAATATTCTCGTCCTGCACTCTGCACACGTTCTCAACGTCTAGAGAGGGCATCATTACTTGCTGGGTCACTATGCGCTCCAAGTTGATACCAACTGGTGCAAAACCGTACCCAATGCAAGCGAATATCATCACGAGGAGATGAATGAAGCACAACATGTAGGTAAAGTAGGGCCTGTTACAAGAGAGAACACAAGAGCAAAATACACTACTTGCCGTGAATGATAGTGCAGAGCCTTCAAATCCTTTCTATGTTTTAATGCAGCTACAATGCCTCACTGAAAGCTAAAGTCAAAACTCACAAGTATAGTAAACAGAATCGATGCGTCAGTTACGATTAAATTTAAAGCGGTATCAGGTTTCATCAATTCTATAGAAAGGCGGAAGCAATCGAGATCAAAAATAGACTTCAAATGTACATAAATTTACATGGGATAGAAGACATACAAAATACTAATTAAAACTAAAGTAGAACATTTTTGGTCATGGGCATAGATCGTTGTATACCACACACCGATAATCCAGCATGCTGTCATCCACCTGCCGGTAAATCTCATCTGTCTTTTTCGACCTTCGAAAGAAATGCCCCAGCAACCTAAATGACTCATCTCGCCTATCTTGATCTAAGAATTTGCCTCCATTTGATTGGCCAGGATTCAACAAGATCAGTGGTGTCAAAGGCGACATGAGTGTCGAAGCGTTTTCATCACGATTGACACGAGATCGAATGATGTATGGTGTGACGGAACCGGACTCTGCTTCTTTGGTAGAGGCATTTTTTGAAGGATGGGAATGCTGATTGTCCGGAAATGAGGATGACTCCTCACCGTCCAGCTTAACACAATAATCAGTAACGTGTGATTCAATGAATTTGGATGTGGGACCAAGATCGAGGGGAGGAGGACGCGCCACAGAGAGGCACAAGGGAGCAGAGACACCCGAGATTTTGGTTTCAGTATGCGAAGTAATTCGAGAATCTGGAGCAGCTACATCATTCGAATTTTGAGTTTGCTTAACTGCAAAGTCCACTAACATGTCAGCAAAACCATCAGTTTGATCAGGAGTCTTAGATATCTGAGACGTGGAGGTTGAAGGAAAGAATATGCGCCGTCCACTAAATGGTAGATCCAATGGTCTTCTAGAGGGTGTTTTTAATGGGTATGCATGTAGTTCAATACAGCTGTGGTATCTGGAATCCCTTGAAGTCACAACATCTTTCGCCGGTGCCGAACGCGAAGAGTTTCCAGTCGACATAGGTACACGTTTGGATAAGCTGTTATCGAAATCCCCGAGGCCCCGATCAGAAGGTTCGGGCGCTACAGATGAGCCTCGCCAAATTGTATCAGACACCAAAATCTCATTCGGGACAGGAGAAGAAACAATGGTACCAGCAGGTAGCTTCAGAATGGTGGGCTCCAACCCGGATATCTATTTGCAAAAAGAAGCAAGTTTCGCAAACAAGGCATAGGAAAATAAAGAACAGTTATAGATTATCCAGTCTGATGCTGACACCTGCCGCGTAATCCATAAATAAATTTAATGACAGCAAAGTGATGGACTGCAACAGTCATGAATGTTTCGAAATTATGTCATTTTCACAGGAGTTACAATACATTGATGCCACCAATAAGCAAGTTTGTGGCAATGCTGATGCTATCAGGCACCAATCAACAGATATAATTATGCAAACTTCAGTCGCACTAAGCCTATCGAGTGTATAAAGTTATAGTACGTTTATCCAATCTAAGCTTCCAACAACAACTTTACAAGCCAACAAATAACAGTCGAAGATGATTTAGCAAGGCAAAACGCACTCGATGAAGAGCAAGACCACCACTGCATCGGTTAATATTTCGTCGACGTCTAACAGCAGTATCCATGAAGAGGTTACTCAGTGTCCTAAGTGCACTGTTTCGATATGCAGAAATTCCAGAGGGTGAGAAAGGTGTCGGAGTGCCAAGTTGAGTCATCAGATCGACCTTAGATTAGAAGAAAACATTAAAGGGAGCGTTTGAATGCCTCGAGCTAGAAGCCACAGAGGAACTCACCTGCCGACGGAGCAAAGAACCCCGAGGAGAATCAGGCTGTGAATGCAAAATGCTGAAGTCATTGCAAGACTTCCCCTAGTGAAACAATTATGCGCGGTTCACTCCACAATATAGAACAATCGGAACTCCCACTACTTTTTTTCTAGAACCACATTTATGGAAATATAAGAGATAAAAGGCCCTCGTAACAAACAAAACAGTTCTTATCTGCACAAAAACCTATAAACGATTACTAGGAGCGGAAATTCGTAGGTCAATGAAGTAAAGAAACGAACCAATTTTTCGGCTCGAATACTTCCATATCTCTTTAAATTGTATCGAAGTCGTCTAGAATTCCAGTCTTCATTGGCATTTATAAACCCGTTAACAAGGAGATCAACAGTCCTTTCCTTGAGAGAACTAGGTGATGTAGCCCTTTCAAATAATAATAAAGAAAGTAAGCCAGGTAAACATACTGCAACAAGACCCCACTATCGAGAAATGACGTTTGTTTTGAAACTTCTTCACGGGTCCCCATCGAAGAACACTAATACCCACTGCGCTTACGCATAGCAGTCAGCCAATCGAACTTGTGTACTACTGCAGAAATGGCAGCAACACGAGCGTGGCGATAAACAAATTTGAAAGAATCAATTACAGAAGACATTTAAAAAAGAGAGATTAAAAAGCTGTTGTAAAGCAAAAGGCACCGTCAGTGTTATTGCACTAAGGCAACAAAAAGCAGCAGTGTGGAGCCATCCTATGTAAAGAAGGCATTGTGGTGGTATTTACCAATTCCATTCTACTAAACAGATCGTTCTCCCTTTAAGTAAACATTAGAAAATTCTTCCATTTATAAAAAGCCGCTGAAGCGACAGTGAGGTCTAGTGCATCACTAGGTAGACAACAGGAACATTTGTATCTGTAATATAATAATAGGCTGTCAGAGTGACTCTTATAGGTGAGAGGAAAGAACCAATAGGGAACGCGAATCACGTGTGTGAAGTCGGTGAGCAGTCTCCTCCAATTGATATTTCCTATTCGCCTCATCTGCATCCTCTTCCCCATCCTTCCTAATAACAACTGCCCAATAAATCATCCGCAACCGACTGACTCTTGAAGTCTGAGGTTCAGGGATAAGAGGGTAGACAGACAGCTCTTACACTGGTGGCAGCGTCTGTCGAAATCCCTCCCTTCAAAGGAGGCACTGATTTCGACAACTGGCTTTTTTTTTACAAAGGCAGATCTCGAACTCCACGAGCCTGCTCGGCGAGTGCCGACATACGTTGGGAAGCAATGGATGCGGGTGCCTCGCTTTCCTCAGATATGGAAGACTGCTGTTAGGTTCTTGTCAAATTGACATCCCTCCAGAAGGAAGAGTTTTTGGTTTTACACTTTTTGCATCGACTACAAAAACCGGGAGAAAGTGATAAAGACTTTGCGGGGAATCTTCGGGCGTTAGCCAAACAGGTATTCAGGGATTGCTATCCCTATCGGGTTGCCTCATGGATATCGGCCCAGTTCGAAAGGGGTATACGCCCACCTGCTTTGGCAGAACAACTGGTACAGGTGAAGACTAGCAGATTGAGCCGTTTCATCGATGCGGCACTAGCTAAGCGCCAAGAGTTACATCTCTCAACCAAGTTAAAGGCCCGTATTCACACGTGGACGCCCAACATACAGCCTACTGGCGAGCAAAGGCGTGCGCTCCGACCCGGCCCCTCAACGCAGACTAAGACAATTTTCTTTGTCTCGTTTAACTCCCTCGCAATGTTCCACTTTTATGCGTGTACGGGACAAGCTAGAAGGTAACACATACCTATTTCTTTTGGACTCGGGGGCATCACGTTCTCTACTAAATCCACAGGCTTTCCCCATGGTATACAGCTAGGCCAAAATTACCACACTGGCTACTAGACCACGCTCTGCAGGAGGAAAAGAAATTTCGGTAATGGGAGAAGCACCTATCGGAGTTTCAATCGAGAATGACAGTTGGGAGGCAAATTTTGTGCTGTGCCATGAACTAGCCTGGGACCTACTGTTAGGAGCCGACATTGTTACGCCATTCTCGCTGAGCCGATATGGACTTTGATACAGGCATGCTCACAACCCATCTATGCTCCAAGGGGAACTGCACTCACCCCTGAAGAATGACTCACAAATGTTCTCCTGGGGGGGAGCGAAACTGCGACGAACGGACACAGACATACACAGGATCGATACTGGCGAGACCAAACCGGTCTGGCAGCCCCCTAGACGCATACCACCACCCCTCCAAGACGAAGTACATCGATTGATTGACGAGAGGCTGCGCGATGACGTTATCAGGCCATCCCAGTCACCCTGGCCTCCCCCATCGCATTAATTACAAAGAGCCACTTCTATTCGTCGATTATAGGAGGCTGAATGAAGTAACAAAGAAGGACGCCTTCCCCCTACCCCACATTAACGACTCGTCGGGCCCTCTGCAAGGACCGAAGATGTTCTCGACATTAGATTCGAAGTCCGGCTACTGGTAGGTGGAGGTAGCGGAGAAGGATAGAGAAAAAACAGCCTTTATTGTGCCAAATGGACTATATGAGTTCGAAATGATGCCCTTTGGGCTTTGCAACGCGGCAGCTACCTTCCAGCGACTTATGCAGACGGTATTGC